TGCAAAGACAGTAAAAGTAAAATTCTGCAATTCCTATACCCAGAAATAACTTTACGCAATTTGAAATATATGTTTCTGGATACCATTCTTAACCTGTAAACACACATACAAACATGTCTTTTTTTTTGTACACAGAATGAATAATCTCCTTTTTACACTTGACACTGTATCTTAGACATCTTTCCATGTCATTATTCTTTTTAAAGCTTCAGAATATGTCAGTGTATGGATACACCAAAAATTTATTTAAACAGTCCATTGTTGCCCTTAAAAAATGTGTGAACACATGCTTCTATAATATTGTTTGACTTGAAATTCATTGTAATATCACTCTTTCCTCTTTGAAATTAATGTTTTGTCTATAAAATGTAGAATTGGAGCTATTTTATCTCTCAGTTATCTTCCAACTTCACATTCTGTGATTTCTAATTCTGCTCAGTGAACTTTTAGAGCTGCTGGCTGCGCCCATAGTGCTGCCAGCCACCTCTGCACCCTGCCGTGCCTCTGTGTCTTCCTCTGAAGGCAAGGCTCCTCACCCCTCCCACTCTTTAGCTTTGCCATTTGGGCTGGACTGAAAATGACTTACACAGAGTGCATCATATGATTTCTTGAATCCCCTGTTGCCTGATAAGTTGATACACCCTCCCTCTGATACAAACATTGAACTATGATTCAGTATTTTTACCAGGGAGTGGAGTGTATTGTTGAACAATCACTTGTGTCCACTCACCTGGACAAGAAAGTGTTATAAGTAAATAGCATTCAGGAACCCCCAGTTTTAAGCTTTCTTCTTCTCTACCTTTTTGAGTCTCAGATTCCTCAACTGTAAATTGAATGGGTGAGACTATCTTCAATATTCTTTTTGTTCTGACTAGCTTATGATGTTATGATATGTAGACATATTAAAAAAATAAAATGTTATTTTAAATTAAAACAATAATTAAATGTTTCTGCCCTGGCTGGTATAGCTCAGTGGATTGAGCATGGGCCTGTGAACCAGAGGGTTGCTGGTTTGATTCCCAGTCAGGGCACATTCCTGGGTTGTGGGCCAGCTCCCCAGTGAGGAGCGCTTGAGAGGCAACCACACATTGATGTTTCTCTCCCTCTCTTTCTCCCTCCATTCCTCTCTCTCTAAAAATAAATAAATAAAATATTTTTAAAAATAAGTAAATGCTTCAATTTGAGAAGTTCTATTAAAAAAATCTCTTCACCTTAATAAGTTTGCTCTTTCCCTGTCTTCCTTCATTCCTTCATTGCCTTGGTTTTCTACACAGTTGTGATCAATGTGCGTGTTCAGTTTTCAGTTCGTTCTGTTGTTATGTTACTATGTAATGTTCCAAGTGTGTTAACATAGAAAGTGATAAGTTCAAGAACTAACCATTTTTTATTCTCTGAAGAACTGAAATTGAACTGTTAATGTAGTTTTTCTGTTTTTGAATCTGTGGGTCTTGACTAATAGCTTAAAAATAATTAAAGAAAAGCCCAGCTGTGTGGCTCAGTTGGTTGGAGCATCGTCCCGTACACCAAAGGTTGTTTCATCCCCTGTCAGGGCGCATCCTTAGGTTGTGTGTTCTATCCCTGGTTGGGGTGCATACAGGAGGCAACCGACCAATGTTTCTCACATGTTTCTCTTTTCCTCTCTGCAAGCATATCCTTGGGTGAGGAATAAAATTTTTAAAAAATACGACAGAATGGAATTTAAAATGTCAGGTGGTTTCATGAAATGTTAGTAGTTTATATTTATATGTGTTTACTGAGTCATGTGTGATTACTTACTCATGGACTGCTTTATAGTTCCTAAAATTAAGACCTTAAGTGAAATATAATGGTGTATCCCCTCTGCCCAGGATGAATAAGAAACAAAATTTTATCATACTAATAACGTTAAAACTCCACTTAGCTATAAGCAGATCAACCACACTCAGCTGAAGCCCAGAGGGAAAAATCTTATGTGTAAAGGGTGCACTGTGGTTGGTTCTTTGGTTGACGTGCTTGCCTTCACTTTTTCTTTGGCCTTCTGTTAGATTAGCTAGCTTCTGTCTGAGGAAAGCTAAAACACAGACACAGTCTGCATGGCACAAGCCATTATTTTATAATCAGCTCTCTTAAATTCATTTTATGATTCTTGTGTTTACAATTAAAAATTTCTGCCCAGTGTTGATATTCAGCATTCACTTCATCACTCCTTCCTTATATCAATAGCAGTCATCTCATTCAGCTCCCCCTTCCCTGATTATTTTCTCTAAAACAGGGGCATCAAACTCATTTTCACCGGGGGCCACATCAGCCTCACAGTTGCCTTCCAAGGGCCGAAATAATTTTAGGACTCTATAAATGTAACTACTCCTTAATAGTTAAGGAGTTGAAATTACATTCGGCCCTTTGAAGCCAACCGGGAGGCTGATGTGGCCCCCGGTGAAAGTGAGTTTGACACCTTGCTCTAAAAGCACTCACGCATGCATGTGTGCACCCACAGCTGCTTCTGATTAGTTCAGATGCTGTCTTAGTGACTGACTCAGCGTGATTCAGCAGCCTCGCTGTCTCTTTGGGGAACACTGTGCCAAGTAACCAGGGCATTTTCAATACTTAACCCATGTCACGGGCTAAACAAGATCCAGATTTCTTCTAGTTTACTATTTTAGTTAGAAGTATGCAGACATGTGTTAGGATAGGGTAAAAGATAAAAGTTAGGAATTCAGGTTCAGGATGAAGAGATTTCTAGGACTGGAAGAAATTTTTGTGATCCAGAAGTGAAAGAAAGTTATTTTTTATTAGAACACTTAATCCTAATATTTTGTAGAATCAAACAGCCAAGTAGCCAAATAGCCAAAGACATCTTGAGAAAGAGCAAAGTGGTCATGCTCCCTGACACCAAACTATACCACAAAGCTACAGTAATCAAAACAGAATGGTACTGCCATAAAAACAGATATATAGATCAATGGAGTAGAATAGAGAGATCAGAAATAAATCCTTTTTTATGTGGTCAATTAATCTATGACAAACGAGGCAAGAATATACAATGAGGTAAAGACAGTCTCTTAGATGAGTGGTGTTGATAAAATTGGACAGATACATGCAAAACAATGAAACCAAATCACTTTGTACCATATTCAGAAATAAAATGGTTTAAAGACTTAAATGTTAGACCTGAAACTATAAAACTCCTAGAAGAAAACAAAGGTGGTAACTCTTTAACATTACTCTTAGCAATATCTTTTTCACTATATATCCTTGAACAGAGAAATAAATGGGATGACATCAAACTAAAAACTTTGCACAGCAAAGGAAACCATTAACAAAACAAAAAGGCAACCTATTGAGTTGGAGAAGATATTTGCAAATGGTACATCTGATAAAGGATTAATGTCCAAAATATGTAAAGAACTCATACAACTTAACACCAGAAAGGCAATCCAATTAAAAAATTAGCAGAGGACCTGAATAGACATTTCTCACAAGAGGAACATACAGACATTTGAAAAGATGCTCCAAATCACTAATTATCAGAAATGCAAATTAAAACTACAGTGAGATAGCACTTCACATCTGTCAGAGTGGCTGCCATCAATAACTCAACAAAAAACAAGTGCTAGTGAGGGTGTGGAGAAAAGGGGACCCTAGTGCACAGTTGGTGGGAATGCAGACTGGTGCAGCCACTATGGAGAGTCCTCAAAAAGTTAAAAATAGAGCTGCCACAGGATCTAGCAATTCCACTTCGGAGTATTATCTAAAAAAACCAAAAACACAAATTGAAAAAGGTTTTTGTACCCCTGTGTTCATTGCAGCATTATTTGTAATAGCTAAGCTACAGAAGCAACCTAGTTGTCCCTTTGCACATCTTTATCCATCCATCTACTACTGGACATCTGTTTACACCCTGGAATGCCACTCAGCCATAAAAATGAAATCTTGCCATTTGTGACAATGTGGATGGCCCTAGAACTAGAGGATATTATGTTAAGTGAAGTAAGTCAGAGAAAAACAAATACTGTAATGATCTCACTTATATGTGAAATTTTAAAAAATAAATGCATAAACAAAACAGACTGAGAAAACAAACTGATGGTTACTAAAGGGTGTGGGTTGGAGGGATGGGAACTTAATTTAAAAAGTGAAATATATTTTTTAAAGATTTTATTTATTTTGGAGAGAGAGGAAGGGAGGTCGAGAGAAGGAGAGCAACATCAATGTGTGGTTGCCTCTCACACATTCCCTACTGGGGACCCGGCCCACAACCCAGGCATATGCCCCAGACTGGAAATCGAACCAACGACCCTTTGGTTCACAGGCTGGCACTCAATCTGCTGAGCCACACTAGCCAGGGCTAAAAAGTAAAATATTTTAAATTTATTTCCAGAATAAGTACTTATTTGCAGAGTGAATTTTGTTTAAGCAGCAGTTGGTACTGAGAAAATTGTGTTATTTACTAACTGATGAAGGAAGGAAAGACCACAGTCTGAAGATCTCATAATGTAGAACCAAAAGGACACTGTGGTGTTTGTTTTCACCCGTTTGTTATGAAGTATGTTATGGACGTTGGGCAGTGCTTGAATTATGTTCCAGAAGTTCTTTTATGGAAATTCCTATTCACCCATGATGCACCTCAGTTATTAAAAGTGCATAAGAACTCAAGTACTGTGAGAGGATTCTTGATAGATCCCTGGTGGGAGGAACCCCCTCAGGAGTGGGAAATATTCGGGTTCCCAGCCATTGGGGTTGTTTCCTGGGGCCTGGGTAGAGGCTGAGCAGGGTGGAGATCTAGAGGAGAGCTGGTACTGGTTTCTCTGGTGACCAGAACATGGGAATAGGTACTTACAGCTTGTCCGAATCTCCACATTGCTTCCTAGCTTTATGTTGTACTCATGCATCTAGTGACACAGTGCATACATTTGCTGGAGTTCCTCAGTTCGCATCAGAGGGCAGGCTGTGATAATATGTTTCAAAATGTTTCATGAGATCTTACTATATTATATCCTGGCTTTTGTATTGCCTTTCAGAATTAAAGCCATTGAGAGTCCCAACAAAGATGATGATACCCAGTGGCTGACCTACTGGGTTGTGTATGGTGTGTTCAGCATTGCTGAATTCTTCTCCGACTTCTTCCTGTCATGGTTGCCCTTCTACTACATGCTGAAGGTACGTCGGCTTTCCCTAAAGTGCTCTGTTTCCTTCCATATGTGGATTTGATTTGCTCCCAGCCCCTAAAAGAAACTCCATCTCAGGACCTGTTAATAAGGACTAGGAACAAAGGCTTGAATGTTAGACATTTGTGGCCCTGCTTCAGATTGTCTAAACAGGAAGACAGGATTCAACATGTCTAACATTGTTTTGTTTACACTCTTGGAAACAGCCATAGCAATTGTGTGTTCAAGATGTGTTTGGTAATAAAAGATGGAAATACTGTGACCTATCACAAACACTGCTGCTGGCCAAGATCTTATCTTCATCCAGTGCTGTCTGTATTTGATGTGGAAGCATTACAAATTTGCACAGGCTATAGATTATTCATGGTGACGAGCAGGAGTCAGTATTTGTGGAAGAAAAAATACTTATTCCTTACATAGGTATTGAAGAAAGAAGATGTGAACTGGCTTTCTGAGGATGCCATTTTAATAACTTTGACGAGCGCATAGTCAGGGAAGAGCCCTGACACACCTTGCGTCAGGCAGCGGGTTACCAGCAGGAGGGGAAAGGGGGAGGAAGTCAAAAAATCATTCCCAATGGAACTGTATCAACTCCAGATTTCCACCAGAGGTGAATCACAAGGAGAGTTCATACTTTTTAATGGACGGAATGGTTTTTTCTCTGTAAATGGGACATGCTGTCTTCAGCTGATTCTCCAAGTGTCTTCCATGGAAGAAGCTCTGCATAGTATGTAAACAGTCTGGTTTCCAGAGCCAGACTTCCCAAACTGGAGAGGGTGTGAATTCTAGGTTCTGTTTCTTCCCTTCATAGCGTAAATATTTGTTTTAACAACAGTTACACATGCCCTGGCTGGGTGGCCCAGTTGGTTAGAGCATCGTCTGGATATGTGCAAGTTGAGGGCTTCATCCCTGCAGGTCTGGGCATGCACGAGAATCAGCCAATGAATGCGTGAATAAGCAGAACAACAAATCAGTGTCTCCTCTCTCCCCCCTTCCTCTCTGTCAATCAATAAATTTTAAAAAACTATAAATCACATAGTTTAAAGACTCAAAAGTTGTGCAGCAGTTTTGAAGGAAGCTGTTCTATACCCCTTTGCCTCCTGCATTGCCTTCTTTAAAAGCAACCACTGTTCCTTCATTTATGGCAGATTATCTTGCCATTTAACTTGATGTCTCTAAATACTACTATTTTTTAGACACCTTTTAATTTGTCTGTTTTATGCATTAGCTCTTGGTCCCCTCCAGGAGACAAGGATTTGGCTCTTTCCTCCCTCATCCCTCCCACTCACATGCAGCCTCGCCATGCCCCCATCTTCCTCAGGTGCCTGTCCCATGACTTAGGTTAGGTAAACAGACATCACCCTGGCGTTAGTACGACTTTGTAAATGTTATCTAGGGCCACCCAGTGTACCGACAGTGTGCCTGCAGTATTCTTCCAGGTTTTTGTTTCCCCAAGACCTAGTCATTGGTTTCTTATTTCTATATTCAGACATATTTCTCACATCCCTTATTAGTTCAATTTGTCTTACGTTTTCTACATTTCTACTTACTTTTTAAAATTTTTATTGGAAAAAATTTAGATTTAGGAAATTAGATACAGGAAGCTTTCTTATTCTTTTGGTCTCCCTCACCACAACCAGCACCATATTGATAGTATCTTGATTTTACTTTTAGGTAGTTGTGTATATATTTTTTCTTTTTCTTTGGTCTTAGCTACTTTAAAAATCTGCATCTGTTTTTTCCTTTGTTTTCTGGGAGATTTTCTCAATCTCATCTTCCAGTATTCAAGTTTGCTCCAGTCTGCCATTTATATCATGCATTGTGTTCTTTATATGCGCTATTATATTTTTGATCTTGGCGTGTTCCTATGTTTTCTTGTTCTTGTTTCATATTGCTGCATTTATTTTAGTATAATTAGCAATCCAATTTAAAATTCTTAATCCTTCAGTTCTAATATTTCTGCTGCTGGTAGAATTTGTAGTTGATTGTGTTGTCTTTCTTTTGCAGTGCTTGAACTTTTCAAATAATCTTGTTGCTTTGGCCTGTAAGCTCATTTCCCTCAAGGGGATTAGCTCCTCTGCCAGGCACTGGAATGGAGGAAGGCCACACCCCAGTCCTAGTCAGCTCTAGGTGGAGGTGTCACCCTTTGCTCCCCCAGACAGCATGAGGAGATGAGGCTAAACTGTAAATTGCAGCTCTAGGGGTTGGAGCAGGAGGGTTTGGGAGGAACTCCTTGGCAACCTAGTCCCCCCACCTGTTTCATCCACACCTCACAAGGATAGGACATCTACGCCAAAACCTCTATTTGATTTTTTAAAGGCTTTATTTATTTATATTTAGAGAAAGGGGAAAGGAAGGAGAAAGAGGAGGAGAGAAACATTGATGTGAGACAGAAACATCTTTAGGTTGCCACTCGTATGTGCCCTAACTGGGGACCGAACCCACAACTGAGGCATGTGGCCTGCACGGGAATCACACTGGCGACCTTGGGCTTTGTGGAATGATGCCCAACCATCTGAGCCACACCAGTCAGGGCCCAAACCCTCTGTTTTAAAGAAAGTATAGAATGTTTTTTAACTAGGAGGTATGGAATCAAGAAAAATGTAAAGTCACAAAGAAAAAGATTTGATTGAAGTTTGACTAAATTATTAAAAATTAGATTTTTATATGATAATAGACAACATAAACAAAGTTAAAATAATGCCAGACAAGGAGGATAGATTTACAACTTTTATAATAAATAAGGAATTAATGTCTATAATATATAAAAATGTTTACAGGTAAGAGAAAAAGATAAATGGGCAAAGATTATAAATAGAAATTGTTTCAAGCAATTCTAAATATCTATCCTAAGGAAATATTCACTGAACATAAGAGAGCTGTATGCAGAGGTTTTGGTCATAATGAAAAATTATAAACTGAAGTTTCCTTCAACAGGTAAATGTTTAAATGGATTAATAGTACACCCATACACTTAAAAGGAATGAAATGACCTATCTGTACAGATAGAGAATTTTTCCCATAATTCCTTCATTATAAAAATCACAGAACATTACATACAGTATGACAAGCTAAGTGGTTTAAAAATTTAAGTGAAAGCAGCCCTGGCTGGTGTAGCTCAGTGGATTGAGTGTGGGCTGCAAACCAGGCATCGAAGGTTCAATTCCCAGTCAGGGCACATGCCTAGGTTGCAGGCCATGGCCCCCAGCAACCGCACATTGATGTTTCTCTCTCTCTCTCTTTCTCTCTCCCTTCCCTCTCTAAAAATAAATAAATAAAATCTTTAAAAAAATTTAAGTGAAAGCATGCTCATTGGAATATCCATGTTTAATTTGGAATGGCATTTACCACAGAAGGCCGTGTAAGACAGCTAAAGAATAGTCCTTTTGAAACAAATGGAAAAAATTGCTCTGTGGGAAGATTTAAGATTTCATAGCTGGTTGGCTATATTTTGCTTTTGTTACTCAAAGACATTTGGCATTTATAAAAAAATATTTGTATATGCTTTAATTTGGATGTCATATGTTTTAAAGTACAAGTAATTCTGAAGCCCCTCAGAAGATCCATCTCATGGTAGTGATGTCCCAGTATGTTCTCTAATGGAAGGGAACTTGGCCTCGGCCTTGGGCCCCCTTGCTTCCTTCAGTGAACAGTATCCTGTCGGCAGAACCACTCACACTAGTGTCTGACCTCAAACTTCTGAAACGTGAGGAAGCCTGACTTTCTGGCTGCTCCTGATCACCTCTGCCAATGGAGGCCACACAAGGTAGAGGGAAGATCCAAAATAAGAGATAATTACTAAATCATTTATGTTTTTCTTTGAAGTACACTACAAAAAGTGGTTTACAGCAAATACTATTCCCTAATAGTAAAATGAATGTGCATCCATTAGTGGTGTCAGTGACAGAAAGTGAATATGCTCTATGTGTTGTAAATAGATAATGTACCTGACATGATTAAAATTGATTATACTGTCAATCAAAATGTTTCCTTCCTGCATTAGTGTCATATTCTGAGTGGCTTCATTGAACAGACTGAGAAAAAAACCTCTGAATTGCAGTCTGTAGAAGTCATTTTAGGGGACAGATCTCTTTTAAAGTATATTTTGTTATGCTACTACAGTTGCCCCAAATTTTTCCCCCTTTGCCTCCCTCTGCCTGGTACCCCACTTCATCTCAGTGTTTCCCCACCCTTAGTTCATGTCCATGGGTCATGCATATAAGTTCTTTGGCTTCTTCATTTCCTATACTATTCTTAACTTCCTCCTTTTTATGCTGTACCTACTAATTACGCTTATTCCCTGTACCTTTCCTCCATTCACCCGCCTCCCTCTTCCCACTGATAACCCTCCAAATGATCTCCATGTCTATGATTGTGTTCCTGTTGTAGTTGTTTGCCTAGTTTATGCTTATTTTTTTAGATTCAGTTATTGATAGCTGTAAGTTTCTGTCATTTTAGTGTTCATGGTTTTGATCTTTTTCTTAAATGAGTCCTTTTAACATTTTATATAATAATGTTTTAGTGATGATGAACTTCTTTATCTGCCCTTCCATTCTAAATGATAGCTTTGCTGGATAGACTAATCTTGGTTGTTGGTCCTTGCTTTTCATCACTTTGAATACTTCTTTCTAGTCCCTTCTTGCCTGCAAAGTTTCTTTTGATAAACCAGCTGATAGTCTTAGGAGAATTGTTTTCTAGTTAACTCTATTCTTTTGTCTTGCCACTTTTAAGAGTCTCACTTTATCTTTAATCTTTGGCATTTTAATTATGATGTGTCTGGGGGTGGTCCTCTTTGGGTCCAACTTGTTTTTGACTCCTTGCTTCTTGGACTTGTATATCTATTTCCTTTACCAAGTTAGGGATGTTTTCTTTCATTATTTTTTCAAATATGTTTTCAATTTCTTGCTCTTCCTTTTCTCTTTCTGCATCCCTGTGGTCTGGTCTGGGGCTGGGGTGGCTCACTCCCAAGGTATCCTTCCTGATTTTTATCCTGTACACATGAATGTGGGACTGCCTGTTCCACCACTGCCCCCGCCACTGTGGTGTCTCCACACCGTGTCCTCTCTACCCAGGATCCTTGTCACTGCCCCTCTAACCTGTCTGGATGAATATGGCGTCTTTAAATCCTTGTTGTCAGACTTCCATATAATGGGATTTTCTGGCAGTTCTGGGTGGTTTTTGTTTTGTGATTAGTTGTGATTCATCTTGTGGTTGTGCAAGGAGGCAAAGCATGTCTGCCTAGGCCTCCATCTTGACTAGCAGTCCTAGTATTCATTTTCCTAAAGCAGCCTATAATATTGGATGTAAATAAGAGGAACCAGTAGTCAGGCCTCAGACCTTTTCAAGGTTAGTTGAAAAGATCATATACAATTTATTAAGCTAGAAACAGTGGATTGTGAGTTGAGCAGAAGGGTTTAAAAAAATGTAAAATCCCTTTTTTCTTTGATTATGAAAATAACATATGTTTATTTCTTTATTCTTCAGATATTTATTTAAAACTTCTATGTGCCAGAATCTGTTCTAGGTCTGGGGCATCCTTTGGTGAATAAAACAAAAGTTTCGTGGTGTGTGTGTGTGTGTGTGTGTGTGTGTGTGTATGCAGAGGGGGAATGTTTTAGATAAGGCAGAAAAAGCATTTGTAAGCCTACCACTGTTAACATCTTAGGTAGTCTTCCTATTTATGTTAATGTACAAATATATTTGTCCATGACATAAATACACACAGAACTGTGTATATATTATTGTCTTAACCACATATGTATGTTTCAGGCTATATACTATATACAACTCTATATCTCACTTTTTTCCCCAATTAATTTAATGCTCTGAGCATTTTCTCATGTTATTCAATATTCTTTGACATAGATGTTTATCCATTATAGCTAATAATTTACACATTCCCCAACTGATAGACATGTAGATTTGTTTTGCTGTTATAGGTAATGCTACAGTGAGTAGATATCTTTGCACCTCATCTTTACCCTCACTGAAATCATTTTCTAGATTTATTTTTAAAACAAAATTGAATAAACTCTGTGAAGTTTGTGTCCTGATCCAAATTGTCACCTGTCCTGTTTCACCCATTGACAGAACAGAACATTCCTCTTCTTAACTTTGCAGGAGGCAAAGAAAATCTTCCCCGTCCCATGTGCCTTTGAGCTTGTATTTGTGCATTCCAAGCAGTCCCCTTTAACTCCAGCCCATCGCTATTCTGCGGCTGCGCTGCAGAGTCTTCCCAAGGAAAGCTTAGGTTTCTGAGGGAATGATTGATTGCTGCGTGCCTGGAGGCCAGTGTTGAAATGTATGTTTCTCTGACTTTAACTCTCAGTTTGGAGGCTAGTTTTAAACTGTGCATATTATGCATATCTCTGCCTTGGAAGTAACTCTCCTAGGGAACAATTGGATGGTGAAAGTATTAGAATCACAGAGAGGGTTATCTGTCTGTCGTAATTTATAACTATAGGATTCTTTGTGTCCGTGCTGAATGCCAAAGAGTTCAGCTGAAAAAGCACGGACTCTTTGAACTGCAGGTAGGCGTAGACTTGTGTTTGCTCTTGGGAGTATCGTCGGCGGGCACCTAGAGGGCAACTGGATTAAAGCAGGGCCGGATCTGTGTGGCTGAGGGCGCTCCTGGGCTGTGGGACAGTCACACAAATGAAGAAAAGGGAGTTGTAAAAGCTGGCAGCCGAATATCACCTTGAGGATTGAACAGTAATTAACTTTATTTTTAATACAAGGGAGTTATTTTATTTGAGACCTGGAAAATGCTAAGGATGTAGGTGGAGAGCGTTAATTATTTTACTGTCTCAAGAGGGTACTGAAAGAACTAAATTAACCGTCTGGAGTATAGCCTACAAAGTAATCACATTGGAGAGGTGCCACAGTATAGACCCTTGGCTCTGGTCCTGTCTGGTATCTTGCCTTAATTCATCCAGAAAAGATGGATGAAGCTGAGACTGGATTCTGGATTGCTGAGAGTCGATATCTATAACAGGTGGATAGTATTTCAGAGATTTTCAACAGAAATAACGATAGGACTTGGTAATGCTACTGCTATCTTACATACTTTCCTGAAGTACATTAATTTGTGGCTTTCCTAAAATCCTACGTAAGAGAAAATTAACTCTTATTGAGGCCTATTTAAAGTTGTAAAGTAGATATCAGCTCTCCTGATTCTTAATCCAGTGTTATTTAGTACCTGGCAGAACCAGCCCTGGAACCCAGTTTCTCTGATCCTCTTATCCTCTTATAATGTAGTAACTCTTACTTTTGGTTAATGTAGTAACCATACTCTTATCCTCTGTATAATGTAGTGTATAATCCCCTTAGAATCCCTGCTTGTTGAGTAGAGAACTATGTAAAAATCTTGAAATCAAGATTTTAAATTTTTGTTCTTCTGTATTTATTAATTTCTAGTTTGGTATATAACTTTCTGATGGAAGTGTTAAAATCTATATGGGTTTTGTCCATTTATTTATATAATTCTGACTTTATATATTTTGGAGCAATATTTGAAACTATATTGCTATATATAATTACAAATTACATAATTAAAAAATAAGAATCATATAAAGATATAATTATTAAGATATATACAAAGCTATATGTATTTTACATATAGCAAAGATATTTAGGCCAATCTTCTTGGTGAATTTTCCTTTATCGCTATTTGCTTATTTTGCCTTAAGTAATGTACATGTACTACTATAGGAGCTATTTGAGAATTGGTGATTGTCTAATACAAATAAAAGGATGAAAATCCCATTAAGTCTTAATTGGTTTTGTCTTAGGTATGTTTCTTATAAGAAGCATATAACTATAGTTTATTTTTCATAACCCAGTCTGATAACTATCCTTTGAAATCTTGCCCCCCCACTCTTATGTTTGTAAAAATTGTACTTCATGACTGTTACCTTCCCAGAGTCCTATAGTTCAATAATGTAGAAAGAGTAATCTGTTGAGAACCTGCATTTTATTGATTTTGAGTGTAATAGAACTTCAAAATATAATGCAAATTTCTTAGAGTCAACATAGTGCTGATGGAGTGAGCGTTAGGGCTCAAACATGTGCATTAAGTCCAAAAGCTTCTTTTAGAAAAGCGATATAGCCTCTTGACTATTTGAATACACTCCGTGGTTCAGAATAACAAGGACTAATGCTACAGAGTTAAGTCTGTGGCACAGAAGGCAAGGGATTAGTTACTGTAAGAAGGAAAAAATACAGATTTGGATCTCAAGAAATGAGTTCTGTTTTTTTAATAGAGCCAACTAGGCTGGGTGATAGAGTCTTAAACAAAAAGAACCTAATGTGCATGTAGTTTATTAAACTTTCTAGGGAAATGAGCGCATCACTCTGGATGTTCCCTTTTCTGCTCATATAGAGGAGTAAACTTCTTGGACAACTTGAAGTGCTGGGTTGTTATTTATCCTTTAAATAAACAGTAAAATTATTTTAGATATAATTATAGTATGACAATTCTTGTTTGCTTGTTTTTTTTTAAGTTTTTAGGGTTCAATTCTTGTTGATTTTTTTTTAATCTCAATGGGAAAGTAGAGCCATAAAAAAAGAGCTAGGATTAATACCTACATTCAGGTGAAGAAGAGAAACACCTGACTATAAAGATTACTTGATGGCTAAGACCTACTAAAAACTGAGATTCCACTCTGGGAAGATTTCGAGAATGGCCGGCGTATTTTCTCTATAACGGGATTAATAAATGTGACAGACTTACCAAGGTGAGCCTACTAAGAACAAGCCCCATAAATATTAGCCTCATCTGTATAGGGCTTTCCACATGCAGAGAAGTGCTGTGTTGTTTTAAATTGATTTTGAAAAGTTAATAATAAAAGCTGTTATAACTAAAAAGCAGTCCAAGTTAGGAAGGAAATTAAGCTGCTGGGCTTGATGTGTTTTACCTTTCTTTTTCAGTCTCAGCTTTTCCTTACTAGCCCTTTATTTGTCACATTTCTCCATCTAAGAAAGCTCACCTGTAGCTTGCAGAAAACACTGGAAATGCTACTGGAGAAATTGGCAGAGGCAGCGCCTCTGCAGCAGAGTAGTGGGCGGTGGGCGGCGTGTGGTCAGGGCGCCCACTCCCCGTTACCATGCTGCCTCTCGTTCTGTGCAGTGTGGCTTCCTGCTGTGGTGCATGGCCCCCAGCCCCTCCAACGGGGCGGAACTGCTCTACAAGCGCATCATCCGTCCTTTCTTCCTGAAGCACCAGTCCCAGGTGGACAATGTGGTGAATGAAATGAAGGACAAAGCCAAAGGGACTGCAGATGCCATCACTAAAGAAGGTAAGACTCGGGGACAGCGGGGTTCAGCAAGTGATGGGGGCCTAAGCAATAAGCTCCTTGGCCTTCTTGCCCTGTTGGCTTTCCTCAGCCAAACACCAAGATTACTCCGGATTTCTTCACCAAGACTGCCTATTGTCCTTTACTTTCCTCAGATTCTTCCTCCTTGTCACATTTAATACACCATTCATTCAGCACATTAGGAAAAATGACTTGCTGTGGTAGACAGATTTGAGAGAATCACATTTATTTATATTCAGATATCTCTTTAACTGACTTCAGGTTGAACTGCTTAACATGCCGTCCAGACTGCTTTTGTTACAGGTCCCAGAGAATTCCCTCCTGCTCAGCTGTCTGACTCATCCATTCAACAGATGTTCACTGAGGTGCTTGATATGTGCCAAGCATGTTCATAGCCCTGGGGATGAACCAGTGAACCAACCAGATCATATTCCTCGAACTCATGGAGATTTACAATCTTGTGAGAGAGAGAATTCAATTAAAAAATAATAGTTACCAGTTGACATAGAGAAAGATATAGCAGATAAAAAGATAGGTGGTATTAGGAGCTAGAGTGATTTAGGAAATCCTCACCAAGAAGGTTATACTGAATCAGACATGAAAGTGGTAAAGGAAAGAACCATGGAGAAGAATGCTCCAGACCGAAGGGACAGCTCATGCAAAAGCCTGGAGAAGAAGGGAAGAGAGGGACGTAGAGGGAGAGTGGAAGGAGACAAGTGCAGAGAGGTTGAAGAGTGGAGGCTGAAAGAAGACGGATCGTGTAATGCCGCGCAGGGTATTGTAAAGGCTTTGGCTTTTCCTCTGTGTTAGATGGGGTGCTGCTGGAGAATTTTGAGCAGAAGAGTAACATGATCCATCCTGTGTTTTAACAGGATCACTTTGGCTACTGTATTTAGACTGAAGAGAGAGAGGGAGGAAATGAGGAGACCAGTTAAAAGGTCATTGTGGTGATCTGACTGAGATGATGGTATTGGGTTGGTTCTTAATGGTAGCAGCAGGAGGTAAGAAGTCTTTGGGTTCTTGATAGATTTAGAATGTAGAACCAATGGGACTTGGTGTGGAGTATGAGAGAGGAGCCAAGAACGAAGCCAAGCTTTTTAGCCCAAACACACAGAAGGACAGAATTGCCGTTGAGCTGGGGAGGACTGGGTGTAACAGGTTGAGAGGGAAAATAAGGAATTCATTTCTGGACATGACTTTGAGGTGCCTGTTAGGTACCTACATGGAGTAGTCAAACAGCCATTTGGATATAGACATCAGGAATTAAGGGGACAGGTCTAGACTGGGGATATGAGTTTGGGGGTCACCAGCATATAGTAAACAGGAGACTGAATGAGGTCACTAAGGGGGTGAATGTGGTTAGAAAAGAAGGGGTCCGAGGACTGAACTCTGGGGCCCCCAATGTTTAGAAATTGAGGAGATGAGAAGCAAGCAGCAAAGCAGACTGATAAGGAGTGGCCGGTTGAGGGAGCCAGAAAACCCCAAGACGAGGAGGGAGTGAGTCATTGTGTCACACGCTGCAGATGACAAGATAAGAGGGACTGCACACCGACCATTGGATTTAGCAGTGAGGAAGGCACTAGTGATCTTGACAAAACAGATATGTGGAGTGGTAGGAGCAAAATCCTGACTGGAATGGATTTGAGAGAAATGGGAGGAAAGACATGACAGAGTATAGACAACTGTTTTGAGAAATTTCCTGCAAAGGAGCAGAAGAACTGGGCTGGAACTGGGAAAAGGAACTAGTGTCCCAAGGATTTTTTTTTTCCCTTGAGGTGGAAGAAACAGAGTATGTTTGAGAATCCATGGGAGTGATCCAGTGAAGAGCAAGAAAATGATCCAAGTGGGAGGGTGGACTGCTGGCGGTCTGTCCTTTACTAGACCAGAGACGACACAGTCTGGTGCACAGACAGCGAGCTTGATTGCAGGAACAGCAGCAGTTTATAACGGGAGGGAAATCAGGGTTTGTGGGTAAAATGATGGTAGGTGAGTACATGTAATGGTGGGAGCCTATCGGAGTAATTTTTGATTGCTTCAAATTCCTCAGTAAAGTAGGAAGAAAAGGTCAGGGGGGAGAGAGGATAGGGAAAGAAGGATGGGAAGAGAAGTTGTGAAATAGTTGCTTAGGACTGGGATCAGCAAACTTTTCCTGTAAGGGCCAGTTACTTTAGTTTTTGCAGGCCATCAGGTTCCTCTTGCTGGTATGCAGCTTCCTCGAAGTACTGTGAAAGCAGTTGTAGGTGGTGCACACACCAGTGAGTCTGTCATTTGCTGGCCGCTCTGAGACAGTGGGAGCGGGAGTGGCCCAAGACAGTGTCATGTTATGGCGGGGCAGTATTAAAGGCTCACTTGAGATTTGTGTCCATGGATTTAAAGTGACTGGTTTGTCTTTGTTTTTCTCTAACCACGTTCAGAATAGGTGGAGTTGTGTCAAGGTTGATTTTGTTCAGTAACAGCTGAAGTGAGTGGGACTAGTGCTTGAGGATGGAATTTAAGCTGGGTGAGGAGAGAAGGGAGGAACAGAGGCAAAGAGGGTAAGATCACTGGATAATAACACCAGGTGGTGGGGGAAGAACTCTGAGTCAGGATAATAGGAGTGAGCTGCAAAGATAGGAGGTGATGGTGGAGGGTGGGATGCTTGACACTGAGAGCGTAGAGGGGCTGCAGTTATTGGTAGTGACGAGAACTAGGAGACAGAGTGCCTGTGGTAGGCGGAGCAGGTAGGATGGAATATGAAGGCAATTGGAGGGGAGCAACTAAGAGGTCAGGATATTGGAAGGATGGGGGGGGGTGGTGTGTGTGTGTGTGTGTGTGTATCGATATTGAAATCACCAATAATTAAAATAGGAGTGGTATTAGTGATAATTAACTTTGTGGCAAAAATTTTAAAGAAATAAGGCAACATAGCCCAAGGATCAGAGATGACTGGGAAAAGAAATGCTAGAGGAAGATAAAATCTGATGACGTTAACTTCTGAATGTAGCAGTGAACAACAAAGATTAACACCAGACCCCGGACCCAGTGTAATAAGGTCATGGAAGAAGGAAAAAAAAAGCTACCACACGAGAAAGCAGTGTCATCAGGGGATAGTAGTATTTCTGTAAAAGCAAGAAGGGCAGGGAATATTTGGAGAAATGGCTGAGAATAGAGGACATTTGTTGCTGATGGGTGTTAAGTTCCAGAGGGCACAGTAAGGGTTTTCAGCACTTGGAGAAGAGAGGGCAGTGGACATGAAATTTGGAGATTTTGTTGTTGCAGTTGGAGCTCCATGATAACTAGAAAGTGGGTGATGAGGGCTGACCTGCCCCCCCCGACAGTGGCACTGATGCCCCACGTGATGCGCCCCCACTTCTCCCTCTCAGAGCTCTCCTCTGCGCACCTGTTTCTGGCCATGGAGCTCCAGTCTACTCCAGCACATCTTTTTGCATTTTTAAGAATAATTTATAACCTTCACGTGCTCCCACTTTGGAGTCACCAGTTACTTTTAAGAACTTTTTTTTCTGTTCCTCTTGCCCTCAGCCTACCCATCAACCTCGAGATACCATTCCTGTCTAGTTTGCCCACACTTCTTAGCCTCTTGGTTCTCTTAGATAGAAAGCAATACTGTAATTCCCATTTTAACCCTGTCTTACTGTGCTATGATACATTCCTAAACAGGGGTGTGAGAATGAAAATAAGGAGGAACTTACATGCTGATACATAGTAGACTCTTCCCAAAGCTTCTGGGTGTTCCAGCAACTACTTTTTTATAAAGAGCTAGTTAAGAGAGGCTATAGTTTCTTGTTGACTTCGTTCAACAGTTTTAATTGAATGGGGAGCCACTGCCAGGCTGTGAACAAGGAGGGACTTGGCTCTTGTTATGGGGCTCCAGCTCCATCAAAAACAGCTGCAGTGTGGACTCACAGGAAGCCCTGACAGCTTCTGGAAAAAGCCCTCCCTCCTCTATCTCACACACCACACCAGTTCTCACAGCACATTCTATGCTACTTGGTAATTAAGAAGGGGAAGGCTTTGCTTCCCACGGAAGAACCAACATTTTTCTTCATACATGTAGATCTTGCACCAACTCAGACTTGTGGCACACTCTTCCCATCACAGGATGAAACGGTGGTACAATTAGAGAATACAAATGTGTATAAATATACCATCATTTCCAGGGTCTGGGAATGAGGACTTCTTCCAGTTTCTATCATCATAGAATAGGTGGATGACCTAGGTGTCATCAGATGCAAACAGTGAAATGGTACAGGTGAGCACCCAGGTACAAATGAGAATTTCTTGATTGTACAGAACACCAAATGCCCAAGGAATCTCTGCAGCGTGAGATGCTTTCAGGAGGCAGAGAGCTTAAAGTGGTAACTGTCAATACCAGGGGTGGGGGTGGGGGGCCAGGACCTTCAAGAACCATGCTGAAGTACTCAGGATTTGTGCCACGAAGTAGTTTCTTGGCCATTTCCTGGAAACTTTCAGCCCTGACCTCAAACCTCAGTGTGTTCTCATCTGAACATGAATCATCCCAGTTGTTATCTAGCTGCTACATTATGTGCGGAGCCTGTTTGCAAAAAGCTTTGATAAAATTTCCTTTCCTCTTAACAGTCAAGAAAGCTGCCGTGAATTTACTGGGAGATGAGAAGAAGAGCACCTAAGCCCACCTGAATGAGACCTTTCTGCCCTCTGTACCTGCCTATAGAGCTTGATGTTGTGTTAGGGACTGTGGTATAATCATTTTAATAATGTTGCCTTGGAAACATTTTTGATATATTTAAAAATGGAATGTGTTTTTTGCTTACTTTTACTGTCTATATACATAGGGAACATTTTAATTTAAATTTAATGCAATGGGCAGTATTCAAATTTTTGGAAAATATATTTTGCCTCTTGGTAGGAAAAGAAATTTATCATCCTGCCAGAAATATAAACTTAAAATAAAATTATATATCCCACGGGCTTTGTACTTTAATGGGCTCTCTTTGCATGCATTTTCTTTGTACTTATTTTTTAGAGTACTCTTTCAAGTTCTACTTCATGTAAGGTACAATTTTGTATTAAATGTTTTTGATGTATTTGTGCACACACACGTGTAGGGAAATGTACTGGCTGTAACATGCATAATGCTCGTGGAGAGCACCTGCCAAAAGCTGGAAGTTCCATTGTGCTGGTGTAGTCTGCTAAAAAATACTTCAGAAATTTATTACAAATGAGTACTAATTAGAATGAACAGTTAAGTGATAAATGAGTTTGAATGGAGGTTGTCCTGGCTGTTTTCCTAACCTTAAAGCAGCCGAATACTAGAACAGCTTTGAACAGCAGTCACTTTGCTCACAAATGGGGAAACCTACACACGTCAGTAATCACAGCCCCCAATTCCCTATAGAGCTAACTAGTAATACTGACTTGTGGCCTTTTAATAACTTGCTTATAAGCTTTAGGTTTGTCTGTTTTTGAGATGCTACAATGGAAATCATCCCTGGTTTCACCTTCAATGCTAATATGTTGGTTTAATTTTGTTTCCTTTCCAGTCTTTTTTTAAACCAGTTTAAGGACCCCCCAACCCTGCGACTTGCCCACCCCTGATTACATATATGCTCTTGTTTATCTCCTTAGCCAGCAGTGCATGCTAATGACAACACCAGCCTCTGAGAGCTGTTCTGGGAGACTGAAAGAAAGCACGGTATAACCCGTAGTCTGGTTGGCAGTGGTGAGGTAAAACTGCCTTCACCCTCATTTCTGGCCTTTAAGGTCGAACACAGGAGGCCTCCCTAGTTCACAAGTCAGAATCACCTGTAGTTTAAATGCCTTCATCTTTATGCTTTATTTTGATAAATTGCATATAACTACATAATTTGAGTATGTAACAAAGAGTTAAAAATCAAAGTCTCCAGTTTGATCAGCCAAGCACCTTGTCTGGAGTAGAAAAACTGATCTTAATATCAACTGTACTGCTAGGCTACTTCTGAATTAGACTAAACTGACTAAAGAGTTCAATGAAATTACCAAAGTTAGCCCTGACGGTATGGCTTAGTTGGTTGGGCATCATCCTGCCAAGTGAAAGGTCGCCAGTTCGATCCCTGGTCAGGGCATCCCATATGCCTGGGTTGCAGGTTCAGTCCCCAGTCAGGGTGCATTCGAGAGGCCTTTTAAGGCAAATAAATGATTAGTTAGTTCTCCTTTCAATAATAGGTAAGATCATAATGCTGTCTCACGATGTAAAAAATATTAAAGACATCAAAAATAAGGGACGATATCACCCAAATATCACAATATGGATCAGGGCATTTACCTTTTTCTAGGTACAATAGTGGTGATCATAAGGCATCTTATTAAACTTAACTTTAAAAACCTTTAGAAAGCAAGCCATTATTTGGATAAAGTCAAGCTATAGTTAAAAAAAAATTCCTGCGGGAGTATTTAAATCCCTTTCCCCATAAATACAGTACACTTTTCTTGGTGGCAAAAGAATGAAAATGAGCAACCTTTGGCATACAAAATATATAATCAGATTGTTAGTATACAGAATATATTACCAGGCAAGATACACAAGTTACAATTATTCATAACTACTTATAGGCTAATATCAGTTTAAAAACTATAGTGAGAAGATAAATTCTGAATGCAAATTTTTTCTCAACAGTGTTCTCTTACAGTGTATTCTGGAAGAAATGTGTTACTGTTTTTGGCAGTCAAAGCATACATGTTAAAGACAGAAGTTATGAATTGAACAATTCTGTCTCAGCTTTGATTTCCCAAGTAATATTTTGCCATGCTAGCGTCTTTGGAAACTGACTGAGCCTCTGTCGAGCTTGAAGATGAGCATTTATTTGTGCAGGAAAGGTATGTGGGGGATATGTAAAGTTACAGAATCCCTACAGTTCTTCTGCTTGAATGGTTTCAGATCAATAATTACTGCTCCTCTGGAGTCTTCTGCCCACAGCCTGGAGAAAATGACCATAGCCTTTAAATAAGTTACTGTCTATCCTGAAGATGTGATATACTGAATGGAAGTGGATGTAAATAAAATTCCATTATCTCATTGAACTGTTACATTTCATTTTGTGGGGCTTTTAAAAAATGTAAACTAATTCTGAATACAGATGAATGAACCTTAAACACTGCTGTTTATTAATCCCATTTCTCACTTAAAGGAAATCTAAACCACTTTCTACTCACTTACTGCATTACACACAAGTCTTATGACATAAGTTGTATATATTTTACTGCGGTAAACACTTCTGTGCGCCTCTAAATTATTCTGTACTTTGAGACCAAGAACTTGAGGATTTTATTAAAAACACCTACTGCTGGAGGGTATGTTAGCTTTGTCTCCTATATCTGTTTTTACATGTCTATGTATACAATCTTTGTGTGTTTAGAATAACACACGATTCTGCCCTGGCTCATGGGGTTCAGTGGATTGAGCACCAGCCTGGGAACGGTTGCCAGTTGATTCCCAGTCGGGACACATGCCTGGGTTGTGGGCCAAGTCTCTAGTGCGTGGGGGGAGGAGGTGGCACACGAGAGGCAACCACACATTGGTGTTTCTCTCCCTTTCTTTCTCCCTCCCTTCCCCTCTGAAAATAAATAAAATTTAAAAAAACCCACACAATTCAGATTGTTAGCCATCAAATACTACAGTTCTATATAGTACAGCAGGAAAGTAAATATATTTGAGACTGACCTTAATTAAAAGTTACCACAATGTTCTTACAGCTTTGTAACACACACCTCAGAGATTAACAATAAGGAGGTTCTGTGGTTACGTAGTGGCTCTCAAACTAGTGTGCATCAATTTCTTGGGAGGGGTGCAGGTTGTGAAAATACAGGTTGCTGGTCCCATCCCCAGAGTTTCTCACTCAGTAGGTCTTGGGCAGGGCTGAAAATTTAAATTTCCAGCAAGTTCCCAGGTGATGTTGATGGTCCAGGAACTGCATTTTAAGATAAAACCACTGCTAGGTAAATGCTATCTTTACACTTAGTATACAGATTTTCATTACAATCAATCACTCAAGGCGCTTTCTAGAAATACTGGTACCGGATGCCACTAGTAGAAGTCTTGACAATCCACTGTAGTACCCAGGGGCTAGAAAAAGTCTTCAGGTAATTCTAATATGTAGCTACGGTTTCGAACCACTAAGTAGAGACTTCTAAAGAGGCCAATGATTCCAAGGTCTGGAGAGTCTGTCTTAGCTAGATACTGGGTTGGCCACAAAGACCGATTAGTTTTTTTCTGTAAAAGACACAATTTTCATTTCCACCATATTGATTTGGGTATTCTGAGTATGCTGGCTATCTCCTGCTATTGACTTTTAGTGAGTAGAGGCCAGGGTGCTGCTAGACATCTTGCAATGTGTGAGACAGCCCCATAGCAAAGAATTATTTGGCCAACATGTCAGTAGAACCAAGAAACTTTGACATGTTTGATCAGTTACAGCACCTTCTCCATATACTGCACAAATCTTTTGAGTGTTGCATTTTTACTTTTATTGAAATAATAAAGCATAATATGCTGAAAATGTTGCATATTTTCTCCCATCTTCAATATTAAAATGGTTGCACAAAAATTCACCAACCTTCATGTTTTTTAATGCACACTGATATGACAGCTGTCACAGTACCATCTAACAAAATTGTTTTGAATGAAGTTAAAGACAACTAAGCACTACTAGAGCCATTGCACAGAAAAAGCTAAATGAACTTTTTGGCTAACCTGGTAGTTCATCTGATGTGTTAGTTACCTATTGCTGCTGTAATATATTACCACAAATAAATGGGCTTGAAACAACATAGTTCATTAGCTTACAGATTTGAAAGTCAGACACCCAAAAAGGGTTGGCAGGGCCGCATTCCTTCTGGGCACTAGAGAATCCATTTCCTTGTGTCTGTGAGCTTGAAGAGTGCCTGCATTCCCCCCCTGCGTCCCTCTAACACTTGCTTCCCTTTTGTAAGGACACGTGTGATTACACTGGGCCACCTGAGTAACCCACGGCAGGAATACCTTGTTTTATCGCACCTTACTTTATTGTACTTCACGGGTGTTTACAAACTGAACACAAGACCCTCTACCCGCAAAAAGATTCCAGCTCACTTTGTTGTGATACTTGCTTTATTATGGTGGTCTGTAACTCAACTCACAATATTTATGAGATATGCTTGTAGCAGCTCAAGATCCTTAATCACATCTGCAAAGACTCTTTTGCCATGTGAAATAACATAACCAAAGGCTCTGGGGTCTGCCTACTTACCTAGTCGCTCTTTAGATGTAGAAATTTCATTATAAAGTTATACCCACTATCAAAATAACTGTAAAAAGTAATCTTAATGTTGGAAGGGAACTCAAATAAGTAGAGTTGGTAAAAACTACCCTATCCCTATTCCAGTAAAAGGCTGGAGGTTTACCCCCTGCACAGAGTAAGAGGATCTTTGGAGTGGGGGAACACAGGCAGACTGAGGGGGAAGTTGTAGTAAAGACAAGACTGAGTGACTCAAAGGTGAGACCCATTTCCCCACCCCAGCTTCTCCCATTAGGCTTCCAGACCCTTAATGTCCCGGGAGCCTGGGAGACTCCTGGGAAAGCAGATCAGCTTAAGAGGACACCCTGACCTTGGAAATTTTCTGGGAAGCATCTTGGCAGGTATCCCTTCAGTGAAACTAAGTATGCAAGCCCTGCGTGCTCAGAATGTCCAATTAGCTTTGTGATCTTTCACTCAAAAAAAAAAAAAAAAAAATTCAGACTTCCGGCCAAGATCGAGGCGTAGGTGGACATTGTGCCTCCTCGCACAACCAAAATTAAGGACAACAAAAATTTAGAAACAACCAGAACAGACAGAAAATTGAACTGTACGGAAGTCCTGACAACCCTTCATCCAGACCAGCAAGAGGGGTAGAGTTGGCGGCCAGCGGAGAGGGGTTGTGGCAGGAAAAAGTGGTGGCTGGCAGACCTGGGTGCACAGGCACAGGCGGCGGCTAGCAAATCCCGGTGGCAGACCCTGGGCTCGGGGAGGCAATGCGCAGACCCAGTGAGGCACACAAGGCAGCTGGCTGTCCGCAGTCACACGTTTTCGCAGATAAACCAGATGAAAACGGGAAGTGCAACAGACCTCGCAACCCAGGGCCCCAGCGCCCCAGCGCCCCAGCGCCCCAGCGCCGGGAAATAAAGCCTAAAAGCACTGATTGAAAACACCTGTGGGGGTTGAGGTGACTCAAGAAACCCAACCTCACAGGAGAGTTCGTTGGAGAGACCCACAGGGTCCTAGAAGTACACAGTAGCCCACCCACCTGGGAACCAGTAACCGAAGGGCCCAATTTGCTTGTGGGAAGTGGCAGAGGGGACTGAAATCAGACAAGAGAGTGGTGTAAATGCTATTGTTCACTCTCTGACACCACCCCCACAAATAGCGTCACAACCCAGCGACTGGGTTGCCCAGCCCTGGTGAACACCTAAGGCTCCGCCCCTTATACGTGACAGGCGCAATCAGACACCCCCCCCCCGCCCACACACAAAATGGCTCAAATGGAAGAACAAATCGAAGCCCCAGAGCCAATACTTTTAAGCCACCAAGAGATAGCCAACCTATCAGATGCACAGTTCAAAGCACTGGTGATCAGGATGCTCACAGAAATAGTTGAATTTGGTAACAAATTAGATGAACAAATGAAGGCTACACTAAGTGAAATGAAGAAAAATGCACAGGGAACCAATAGTGACGGAAAGAAAACTGGGTCTCAAATCAATGAAGTGGACCTGAAGGAAGAAAAATACATACAATCAGAAAGAATGAAGAAATAAAAATTCAAAAAAATGAGGAGAGGCTTAGGAACCTCCAGGACATCTTTAAACATTCCAACATCCGTATTATACGGATACTGAAGGGGAAGAGCAACAAGTGGAGAAGTTATTTGAACAAATAATAAAGGAATAAAAGAGAACTTCCCCAATCTGGCAAAGGAAATAGACTTCCAGAAAGTCCAGGAAGCTCTGAGAGTCCCAAAGAAGTTGGACCCAGGGAAACACACACCAAGGCACATCATAAATACATTACCCAAGATTAAAGAGGAGAGAATCCTAAAAGCAGCAAGAGATAAGGGGACAGTTACCTACAGAGGAGTCCCCATAAGACTGTCAACTGATTTCTCAAAAGAAACTTTGCAGACAAGAAGGGGCTGGAAAGAAATATTTGAAGTCATGAAACACAAGGACCTACATCCAAGATTACTCTATCCAGCAGAGCTTTCACTTAGAATGGAAGGGCAGAGAAAGTGCTTCCCAGATAAGGTCAAGTTAAAGGAGTTCATCATCACCAAGCACCTATTTTATGAAATGTTAAAGGGACTTATCTAAGAAAAAGATGATGATCAAAAATATGAACAGTAAAATGACAACAAACTCACAACTATCAACAACTGAACCTAAAAACAAAGACAAAAACAAACTAAGCAAGCAGCTAGAACAGGAACAGAATCACAGAAACAGAGATCACACGGAGGGTTATCAGTGGCAAGGGAGAGGAGGGAATGGGGGAAAAGGTACAGGGAATAAGAATCATAGTTGGTAGGTATAAAATAGGGAAAGGTTAACAATAGTATGGGAAATGATTATGTACAACCCATGGACATGAACTAAGGGTTGGGGAATGCTGGTGGGAGGGGGTGCAGGGTGAGGGGAATAAAGGGGAGAAAAAATAGGACTTTAATAGCATAATCAATAAAATATATTAAGAAAACTAGCTGGCTCTTTAGTACAGGTATACTATTGATAACAATAAAGTCTTTTAAAAAGCAGGCAAAGGATGTGAACATAATTCATCGAAGTAAATACAAATGGTAGGTCAACATATGAATAAATGCTTAATCTTGTCCCTAGAGATGACTCCATTTCTCAGTTGATTGGCAAAGAAAAGTTCAATTATGCACTGATCACAACAACATGAAGAAACAGCAACACAATGTTAGAGCAGTAGTTTTGAAACCTCTATGGTAATTCCTACTCCCCATCCCACGCCTAACTAAAACAATTTTAGACTTCAGTCTTCTTTCTGTGA